CACAGAGAGCTGGGACCAGCCCAGAGCTTTCTCAGAAGCAGATTTTCTTTTCTCTCCAATGAGTCAATCATATTTGAAAAGGAAAAAAAAAAAAAGATATCTGGAAAACCAGACCAAAATCCTTCACAATAATGCAACTATTACTATGCCTACATAGATTTGAAGCAACAATCCTGTCTACACTTCTCTCAGTGAAGGTTATTTGGTTAGTGCAAAAGAGGAACCGTGTGTCTGTGTGTGAGCAAACTGCCCTGAGCTACATCTTCAGGTCCTGTGAGGCATTGGGCAGAGCCATCATCACAGAACCAACCACAATTTCTCACATTGAACGTGCCTCAAGCACACCTGGGCTTTAGCTGTACCTGTGCAGGGCTCTGGGGTTGGGGATGGGTGATGCAACCAACCTGGCAACACAGTTTAAGTACACAGGGGTTAAAATGCAGCGAGATTGAATTTAGAGGGGAATTAATCACCACAAAATTACAACTTCTTGGGGGACCTTAAAGATTTCTCAGGTAAAATGCCTGTGCCTCAGTGCCACACCAGCCTGATTCCTCAGCTCGGGGCTGTTCAGCTGGCTGCTGACTTGGCTCACTCTGCAGTGACACGGTCACACTAAGGGGGTAATGAATTACTGGAATTGCCTTCCTGGGAACAACGACAGGAATGTGGCCAAGTGTTTATCAGTGTGAGCTGGGCTGGTTTGTGCTCCTTGGGTAACACACAAGCCCCAGGGACCACCAGTGCCCTGAGCTTCCCAGTGCCAGTTCCAGTCCAGTTCCAGGGTGACTGTCACACTGGAGGGGAGAACTGCAGTGAAGTCACAAGGTGACTCCATGGGATGGAGCCCTAAAAACTGGGACTGGCAATGCAAGAAAACAGACTAACAAACCAATCAACCCTTAGGCAGGAGCCTGAAAATTCATTTTCTAGAATCATGAAGGGTTTCTAGAGCTTTGCTGGTTGTGAAGGTGATGCCCTTGTGGCAGAGGTACCCGAGCATGGCCTGCAATGCAAAGCAGGTATTACAGAGAATAAAACAAAATAAATGTATTTAATGCCTAAGCATCACTTGTAGCAGTGTGCCATCAGCACTTGCTTCATTCTCATTGCAGAGATTTGAAGCAGAAACCAACTTTTTGTCCTGTATTCATGAAGTGTAGGGATCAAAAGACAGTCGTGAGCTGCACTCAGGTTCATTCAAACCACAGGAGTTTGAGGAAACGTGCACAAAGTTCTCTCTTTGTGTGAAGTTCTGCCTGGAAGTGGCTCACAGCAAAGAGCATTTTACTACTATTCTTTAGAAACAGTTGTTTTGTCTTCAAACTTTGCAAGCTGTCTGTAGAGCAGGGGAATTCCTCTCAAACTCTTGTGATTTCTGCCCCTGGCTTCTTCATTTTTATTTTTTTCCCCCCCTTCCATGAGGTCACTCACATCATTAGGTGGCTAAAAATGACCATTTTTGCTTGTACCCACTCAGTACATTGGTGGCATCCTCTGCTGTTCCTGTAAGTATTTTGACCATCCCCAATCTGCTCAGCAATGCACTTCTAGACTTAAGAAAAAATACAGCACATCCATTTTTAAACTCTGGACATCAATATATCAAAAAAAGAAGGAATTAATCATCAAGAGCCAAGCAAAGATTAACTGAACTGCCAGCTGCACAAAACTCTTCATGAAACTAGATGTAAACCAGAGGCAGAGGAGGAGAAAGTTTCCAGCAACAGGAGCATCACAATCTGAGGTAGGTGGTCCTCAATTTGCCCTTAAATTCCTGTTTGGAGACCAGGGCTGTTGTACAGCAATTTTGGGAGCTGCTCTGGTGGACTGCACCTACAGTATGTAACAGATCTGAAACTTTAAGTCATTATTTCTATAGAAGAATGGAGCAGAACTCATCTGTGCTTTTTATTTTTAAAGGTATGAAGTGTGGTTTTTTTTCTTTTTATATCTGCAAATTACTTTATTGACTTTTTTTTTACCTAAAGCACACACAAAAATGATGCAGACAAGTTCAGCTCTTATGCAAATCCCCAAAGGGAGACTCTGCCCAGTTGTGCAGCTCACGTTGGGTGGTGGCAGGATAAGGGTTTCATCAGACAAGCACAGAGAATTAATCATATAAACATTTTTACATCAGAAAACTGACATGAAGACAAGAAAAAAACCCCAACCATGCACAGTTTACTTCTCAGTAAAGTCTGTATTTCTGGGATAACCTCTATTTCTGGGATTTATAATTCTAGCTCTTTCTTTTCATTTTCTGCTTTTTTAAAATGCCTTTTTGCTGGTTTTTAAAAAAAAAAAATAGAAAACATCTCCTTGCCTAAAGCCCAAGATTAAATGAGATTAAAATCTAGCTGACAGCTCTGACCTGCAGGTAGGAAACCACGTTCACACTCCTACATCAGAGCTCCCTCTCTACGGGTATTTATCTTCACACAGAGCCCACAGAGAGCTCAGATAAAGCAGCTCAATAACCCAATAGTGCTGCAGGAGCAGACACGTGGTGGGACACACAAACCTTGCTGAACCTGCTTTAGTTTGGCTCCCATCTGATCCGTGTATCATTTGCAACATGGGGCAGGTACCTGCTCCCCAGAGCTTCCTGCACTTCAGCCACCATCTCATACCTGCAAATCTCCTGCTGGATGCTGTGAACAACCCAGGAAAGGCAGTTTTAGAGTTGGATGAGTTGGCAAGAGCTCAGCTGAAGCTACCTGAGATAACTGGGCTGGTTTTCCTCTTGGAAAAAGTGAGATCCTCTTTGTAAGCAGCTTGAAATCCCTTCGTGGTGGTGATGGCAGGGACAGTTCATGCTCTCCAAGGCTCTGCTAACACACTTGCTGTAGAGTGAGAGTAGGAAAAGGAAGGAATAAAGGGATTGTGAAGTAGCTGTGATCTTAAAAGCCAGCAGCTGGATGATTGTGTAAGCATGGCACCCTCCTCCTAACGAGGCACCCACCTCCTAACGAGGTAAGGAGCTTGTGGACACCTCACATCTCTGTTGTTAATGAACTGGGGAGAATTCAGCATGTTGATGCCAGCCCAGAATACATCTACTTAGGAAAAGAGCCTCATTCAGATGCCAACCTGCCACCAGGGTCACGTCAGCTGGGCTAGCACAGGATGAAATTTTGGGCTCCAGCTGGCAAACTGGCAGCTGCTCTGTTACTTGCAGCATGCCAGGAGTTCTCACTGTCTCTAGCCCAAACATGAGGAGAAGAGGGAATGTATTGGCTCAGCTGTAAGTGGTGTACATCAGGCAAGACTAAATGAGCATTGGGATAATATTTTTCCTGATTTCTGGACATAAATGAGGACTTTCAGCTCTTCCAGGGCATTCTTGTTAGCTCCTCCTCGCTTTGAGTCCTCCAGACTGGTGGGCACTAAGGCACTGGATAAAAATCCCCATTTTCCAAGTCACCTGTCTGGTCTCTGTCCAGCTGGGAGGAGGAAACCAGGGAGGCTGTGTGGAAGCTGCTGCCCAGTGCCAGGCTGCACAGAGCTGGGGTGATGTGAGCATCTTCCTCGCCGCTCTCTGAGCACACTGGAAGCTGTTTTGAGCAGGCAGATGTGGTTGGGCAGCCGTGCACAGAGACACCCACATCTCCACAGCAGAGCTGCCTCCCCTGCCTCTTACGTGGGGAAAAAACCCGAGGGGAAGCTGCCCGAGGAGGATGCTGTGCCAGCTGCCCCACCACAACCCTTCAGCCTCTGCTGAGACGGGAAGAGAGAGTTCCTGCAGCCCCCTCCGTGCTTCCCAGAGAAGTTCCCTGGAGAGCTGGGTGGGAGCTGAGTCTGCAGCTCACAGTTGGGGGGGTGCACATCGACCCCAACACAGGGCACAGGGTGCAGGGGCTGAGCCCAAATCCCACCCCTCTGCAGCTGGAGGGCGGGCAAGCTGTGGGTTCCCGTGGGCATCTAGCCCAGGATGCTGCTGGCAGGGCTCAGCCTGGCACCGTGGCAAGGGGAACAAGGCTCACCACAGCTTCAAGCCTCCATCGTTTCCTTGTTCATTTCTCCTGAATGCTTTGAAGTGATTCCAGTGCATTAAACAGTGTAAAATAAACCACGTGATTTCTGCCTACCGAGGCTGTAGGTGCAGCAAGGTTCAGGCAGATCTCAGACAAAGCATTTGAGAGGAGACTCTTTAGGATGAAACACTGGACTAATCAACAGTCAATTTTTAACTCGAACAAGGAAGTAATTCTGTCTGAAATAGAGACACACAAACGCTGTTTCTGCCCAGATCTCTCAATGGATAACAGTCTAAACAAAGATAAATTGCATTGGGAAAGAAAAAAGAAAACCCAAACAATTGGGGCGTGGCAGGAAATGTTGAAGGATTTTGGCATTCCAGAGCCCTGCAGCATTTCCTATTGTTTCTTGAGCTGAAAAAAATGAAGAAGAAAAGTCAAGAAATGAAATCTCTTGATGCCGCAGGTCTGGCCGCTGGGAGGGCAGCACCAAGTGCCACGTCTCCTAGCTGCTGCTGGCTCCTCAGTGCTGGGTTTGGCAACCACTGAGGCAGACCTGGAATGCCTCTGGAGGTGCACAGGGTGGGGTGGGTCACAGCCCAGCCCCGTGATGGGTCTGGGGGTGCACAGGGTGGTGTGGGTCACAGCCCAGCCCCATGACGGGTCCCTCCCCAGCCTGGCTGACCCCTGGCTGCCACTGCCCTCTCGTTACCAGCAATGCCTTTAGAAACCATCCTACCCATGCACAGAGGATTTAGTGCCTGAGTGCAGGAGCTGCAGAGCACTGACAGCACTTTTCCTCTTCTTCAAACTCCCTCTCCTTTGGGCTAAGCCATGTCATGGGCTGGGACCACCGTGGACGTGGGTGCCCTGCTCCAAATGGCCACCAGAGTAATCCTGGTGTCTTACCTTGGCCACAATCTCTCTCTTCTCTTTGATAACACAGACATCAGCAAAATCCCCTATCCAACGTGGGATTTTTGACGTTTGCCAAGCAAATACCCGTGCAGGTTGGACATGGTGCTTCTGCTCCTCTTAGCAGCTTTGCTGCAAGGTGAGTTGCCAAGAAACCAACTCTCCAGCCTCTCATGCTGATGAGAACAGGCAAAGCTGGAGCTGGGGACACAGCCACATCCCAGGCTAAGCCCTCTCTTGGACACTAGACACCTCCACCTGAAAAATGGAAACTGGGCAAACCTCCCTGGCCACTCGAAGGCTGCAGAGAGCTGACAAAGGCACAGCCAGGGCTGGGAAGGAGAATCCCAGCTCTCCATGGCTCAGCACTGCAGGCTGCCACGGGTGCCTGGGCAAGGCATCTGTAGGGAGGAGAAAGTTGCCAGATCAGGCAGAGTTTGCAAATGCCAAAGGTTATTCTTAGGTGTTTACTGTTAAGTGCTGCCCTCGACATTCAGCTCCAGACAGAGCTGTCAGGGCTGATGGGGGTTTAGGGCACTCAAGTTTTCCCCATCCCTGCACTGGCACAGGGCAGTGGCTCTGCACTGCCAGTTATCCCCAGATGGATAATGTGCCACTCGAGGAAGGGAACACACCACATCCAAAATAAACTCTGGACTTTCTGAGCCAGATGTCCCACTGGTGCCACTCAACCACCCCCCTGACTCGAAGGAGCTTTGCTGGTTTTTGCCAGGGAAGGGGCTGGTTGTCTCCGAGTAACCAACAACTTCTGTTTCATTCTTACCCCAAAAGAGCCCGTTTCAAGCACCTTGTACGGATCCAGGTTTTTGACAGGGAAGGTTGGAGGCTCCATCACCCATCAGTGCTTCTACTCCACCACCCCAGCCAACAAACACGACCGCAAGTATTGGTGCAAAATGACACGTGGAGTTTGCTCCACCATCATCTCTACAACTGGCTACACCTCTGAAGACTACCAGGGGCGAGTGGCTCTGGAGGACATCCCCCAGAAAGGCACCTTCATGGTGACCATGACAGAGCTGAAGGAGAACGACACGGGGACCTACCAGTGTGGCATTGGCACCACCAACAGAGACCTGTACGTCAGGCTGGAGCTGAAGGTCTCGGCAGGTAGGCTGGTGGCTGGGGAGAGGGGAGGCTCCACTCTGCTCCACCAGCAGCCCAGCTCACAGGGCCCAGTCTGGGGACAGATGCTGGAGCAGCAGCACACGGCAGGGAGCTCAACTTTCTCTACTCTGTGCTATTTCCCAGCTATTTACAACAATGGGGTGTGAAAGTGCCCAGATTTGGCCAAATCAGCTGCTGATAGATGTAAAAGGAATCTCTCTCCTACCTGGCTGCGGGCTGCATGGTGAGCAGTGCCTGCTCTGCTCTCTCCCTGCAGATGCTGGTGTGTTCAGGCTGATCGAGCTCGTCCAGGGAAAGCTCCGAGGCTCTGCCATGGTCCTGTGTCCCTCTGGGGACACCCCGAGCGACGAGAAGAGGTCCTGGTGCAAGCTGGGGAGAACTGGCTGCACTCTCATAGTCGACACCGACGGCTACGTGGGAATGGGTTACCAAGGACGGATCTCTATCACCCCTCAGAAGAGCTCTGGAGCTTTCAAAATCTTGATAAATGACTTAAAACAGGAAGACTCAGGGCTGTACAGGTGTGGGATGGGAAGGTTTAGCAGCCGAGACAGCCCCCGGGTGGTGGCTCTGCAGGTGACCAGAGGTAGGTTGGGTTGCTGGGGGCTGCAGGGTGCCTCACAGCCCTGGGTGAGGAGCACGGGATGCTAACAGAGTCCACTCCAACCTGCAGCCTCCACACTTCCCAGGAGACCAAAACTCCTCAGCGGCACAGTCGGAGGCTCCCTGTCTGTGAAGTGCCACCACGATCCCCAGGGGCACTACGAGGAGAAGTACCTGTGCAGGTGGAAGGGAGGTTCCTGCTCGCTGCTCGTGGATGCAGCTGGGTTTGTGCACCAGTCCTACAAAGGGCGAATACAAATAACAAGCAATGACCAGGAAAATGGGACTTACACGGTGCTGATGAGCTGCCTGAGAGAGGAGGATGCAGGGTGGTACTGGTGTGGGGCCAGGAACAGGCACACAGAGCACACGACCCCTGTGAAGCTGTTCATCCAGAGGGGTAGGTGGTAAGGTGGTTTGCAACACAAGAAATCCCTTTTCTTTTTTTACATCACTCTTTCTTCTGCCCCTTCATGGGCGTGAGGAGAACAGACTCTGCTCTGTACCACGGACAGGTACAACAGCCCTGTGAGAAACAGCAGCTCCAGGTTTTGCCTTACAGTTACTGGCAAATGGCTGAGGGAGTGGTGAAGGTTTTTGGAGGCAGAGATGTAAGCTGAGCTTTCAGAGGAAATTTAGTCTGTAGGAACTATTTTCTTCATCATTTATGATGCAAACCCCTGGCACAGGAGGTCCTGGTCCCAGCAGGCACGGTGCAGAGACATGTGCTGTGCTCTGAAGATAAGCTGAAGGTTATCTTGCAGTTTTAGAGATGGCAGCGTGTAAATACACAGATCCATGTACCTTCCACTGGCAGAGACAGGGACAGTGGGGTTAAAGCAGGAGAGTTTGCCAAGGACTAAGGGGTTTTCATCAGCACTCCCAAGCTGGCTTCTGCAAGGCTCAAAGACAGAAATGCATGATTTTGGTCATACCTTTTCATGCCAGGATGCAGGGTGAAATGTGTCATCTTTGGGAAATCTAACACGTTGCCTCAACCAAAAAGATGGGAATTCAAAGCTCAGAATTATTTTCTTTGTAGAAACCCGCTCTTCACAAGACCCAGAAACATCCACTCTTGTGAAACCCACTTTATCAAGTCCAGCCACCTCCTGCACGCCCAGGGATGGGAGCATCACAGGCCTGACACGTGTGACAGGCACCATCACCAAGAGCACCAGCATCCTGCTGCCCACTGCCTCCCCTGGCATCTCTGTAACCTCCCCTGGCATGTCTGCAACCACCCCTGGCATGTCTGCAACCACCCCTGGCACTTCTGCAACCACCCCTGGCATCTCTGTAACCACCCCTGGCACTTCTGCAACCACCCCTGGCATCTCTGTAACCTCCCCTGGCATCTCTGTAACCTCCCCTGGCATCTCTGTAACCTCCCCTGGCATGTCTGCAACCACCCCTGGCACTTCTGCAACCACCCCTGGCATCTCTGCAACCTCCCCTGGCACTTCTGCAACCTTCCCTGGCATCTCTGTGACCTCTCCTGGCACTTCTGCAACCTCCCCTGGCATCTCTGTGACCTCCCCTGGCACTTCTGCAACCTCCCCCAGTGGAATCTATCACAAGAGGTAAGTTCAGGGCCGTGTTTCTTGTTGGCACTAAGTTGGTGGCTTACAACCTGTCTGCCCCATTTCCCAGGGCCCTACAGAGCTCGTGCACAGGTTGCAGGATGAGGAGACATTGGTAGTTAGAGAAGCAGAAGGTGAGGTTGTCTCACCTGTGGCACGTATCTTTGAACCTGTCTCTGAGCCTTCTGGTGCTGGCTGCTCTCACAGATCAGATGCCAGAGTCAATAGATGTGCTCCTGTCTGTTTTCCTGGTCTCAGGATGGAGACAGGACATTAGGAAACATCAGCCTTGCACAACAACGCTGGTGAATCAGTAGCTGCCACATACTTCACTGCACACATCAGCCAAGCCCCTGCAGGCAGCCAGTAACCTGGGTAGTGTTTGGGTGCTCTCTGTTGCATAAGGAGCCATCACTGGATGAGGTTAATCAAAATGCTGGGAGCTATTTTGGCCAGTAATTATTCCATGGTACTTCTCTACAGAAAGTCCTGTGGCTCACCCCAGTGTAAGAGCTTTCCCAGTGCATTTCCCTCCTGTGCTTCCTGCTGCACAGGATGGCTGCCAGCAGCTCTTACCCCTTTCACCCCAGCTATGGCCCCCATCCAGCTCCTGCTGGATTTGCATAGCTGGTGCAGATTCATCAGATAGGGCAGGATCAGTCATGGCTGAAAATAAACCACCAAGCCCATAAATCCAGTTCTATATCCTGAGCTGTCAGTTCTGTATCCCCACACACCTCAGACCTCCCATCTTCATGCACAAGGAGCACCATGCTCTCCATCCCCAGCCTCTCTGCAGCCATAGCTCCCTGCCAGCCCACCAACAAGAGGAGGGGAGAGCATCTTACCAATCACAAACCATGCTCTTGTGTAAAGGGCCAGATTTTGCACTGTTCCTGGCACAGCTCTGCCTGCCTGTGGAGTTCTGATGATATTTATATTGTTTTTGCAAAGAGAAACTAGATAGACACCCTCCAACAGCATGAGAGGCTACCACAACTCACAAAGAAAGAGTATGAACCTTGCTTGTGAAGTTGTATGATGAAAACTGCTCATTCTCCTTTTGGAGGGGCTCGTTCAGCTGAGAGCATGAACCCCACGAGGTAGAAGTAGCTGTAGAAATCACTTCCTCATAAGTCAAGCTCCAGATCAAATTATTTCATCTGTACTTGACTTTGTTGACTGTTTAGTCAGAGTTTAACACTCCTTTATACTCCCTGGTGTAAAAGCAGCAGCCTGCATTAAGGTACTTCAGCCACCCTGCCTCAAAAATCCAATGATTCAGCCACCCTGAACCAAAACCCAATTTAATTCTGGTGGTTCATCTTTGCAGCTCATCAGGGAAATCACGTCTGCTCCCACTTGTGCTCTCAGCTCTCCTTCTCCTGATTTTCATCACTGTCACTGCTCTCATCCTGATCAAAACAAAACTTCAAAAGAAGACAGGTAAGCAGGGAAGGCAACACCTTCTGGGTTGTGGTTGCTGGTTTGCAATGGTTTTGTTTGTGATTTCCAAGAGCTGGAGCCTGACCCACTGAAATTTCCATCTCTGGGGACACTCTGCAGCCAGTGCAGCCTGAAAGTGCAACTGGAATTGCAAGCGAGCAACCTTCTAGAGAAGCTGTTTGGGTTTGGGTTTTTTTTTCAGTATGATTAAACAAAAAGCAAATCAAGGAAATGGAAATTCTGAAGTTGGTTTTTTGTGTGTAGAAGATTTAGAGCTCTGGGAGTGCTCGGAAATCATGAAGTATAAAGGGCAGGGAACTGCACGTGGGGAGCAGCTACGTGCTCAGGGCTGGATCCAGCCCACTCAGTGCAAAGCTGGCAAAGACTTGCCCAGAAAATCCTCACTGATCATTTTCAAAAATATATATGTCTTGTTCTATAACATACTGTGTCCCTAGAGGTAAATTTAGGGACAAAAACCTTCCACGATGACAATGGTGACTGGAAACACATTGTTCACCAGCATGGAACAGGGAAGCAATGGACCTGATGGAGAGCACTGAGAGAGGCATTAGAGGAGGTGCTCCCTCCCTTGCTCACGTTCCTCTTCCTCAGGAGAAGGCAGCAGCCCTGCAGGACACCTGGAGGCAGCACCAATTGGGGATGATCCTGTGAAACAGCAAACGATGGAGGGAACCCTGAGGCCAGAAAAAGTGCCAGAATGTGGGCCAGGCTCTGGAAAATGTAGGTGGTTTTTTTTTTCTGGAGCTGGTACTGCAAGTGTTCTCTCCTTTGGTCGGAGAAAAAAAGCAAATGTTAAGCAGAGGATTTGTGGCTTGGTGTGTAAAATACCTTCCCAGGAGAGACACCAGATTTGCAGACCAGGAATGATGATCCCACAAGTTGGGATTTATATTTTGATGCCAAACTATTGTCTTTATTCCTTACCAAGAAACACTGAGATACAGATTTCAAAAGACTTGGATTAAATCCTGTATGTGGTTTATAAATTTATTATAGGGTTGATTATGATTTTTGCTTACGCATAGTAGATGTGTTATCGCTCTTCCTGCTTGTTTCAATAAACTCTAATTACTTATGACCTCTTGCAATGTTACACCAAAGCAATTCTTGTTCACTGTGTTGCAATCATATTCTTTTTCTCTCCTACTCGTGCAGGATAATCTACACTATCTTTGGAACATTGAGGATGACCAATTTATATGTAAGAGTCTTCATCTTCTGGTAAAATATGAGATCAGTTGGAGTACCAATACACTTCACAGGGAAGCTCTTGCAGAAAACATCTGAGCAAATAAATAAGTGAAAAAACAGCAGATTTGTGGAAATCCTAGCAGTGAAAGACACTCTTCTCCTTTAGAACAAAATAGATCAAACTTAGTAGAACAGTGGCTCAAAAAATGGGGTGAAGGCATTTCATAGTCTCAATTCCAATGCACTTAGTTCTAAATCCTCTAATCATATAAGCAGGTGATTTTAAAATATTTTAAAAATATTTACTATTTTTTTAAATATTTTTTAAAAATAATTATTTTAAAGCCAGACAGATATGGAGGGGAATAAGCAACTGTGAAGATCTGCACCCTCTGGAGCAGCCCCCAGCCTCTCTGCAGTCCTGCATGGACTCTCATATTTCTTTCCCTCTTAGAAACATCCACAGCAGAAAGTGGAGCTCCAGACATCACATTTTTAAAGCCCTTTAGAGAATATATTGTAGAAGTCAAAAGAGGCCTTCAGAGGAGCTTTAAATCCAAGGCCCTAAAGGCTCAAATGTAGAATATTTTGTGGAGAGTGATACAATTTCTATACACACATATTTTATTCTATACTATACATATTTGATTCCAGTTAGAGATTTTACTTGACAATAAAAAGAAGCTGCATGAAGGGTTCTTGCAGTCTGAAGTATAAAGAATGGAGAGAAAGAAGTACACCCCCCAAACACTTAAAAATAAACAATCAGCATTCTGTGAAAACCTTCTAAAAATGAGAACATAATCCAGAATTTGTGCCTCTTGCTTCTAGGTGTCTGGTTTGGGGTAAAGCCCAGGACAACTCTCCTCTTGAGCAGAGCAGGAGGTTGACTCCAGAGCTCCCCTCTGACTCAGGTTTTGTAGCTTCCCGTGCTCAGGACTCCCTGGACTATCAGACCCTTGTAAAATACCAAATCTGGCATAAAACCAGGAACAGCCACAAAATCACTTGTACAAACATTGCAGAGAGGCAACGCCAGATCACAGATTTCCTGTTGGGCTTTGGGTTGTTCTGGATTTTGATAAGTATTTTTTTTTTACAGTAACCTTACAGGCAAAAAAAAAAAGACTTTCCAAGGTGAGTGATGAAGACCCGAGGCAGAACCTC